GAGGTGCAGTAATAGAGAGACTGAAGAGGGGTCTAGAAGACTGGTATTCTTTTGGCTAGAAGCAAAGCATCTGCGTTTTAATCTCAGCTTTCATATTACATGCTATATTTTGAATTATTTAAAGTAATTACTGTGTATTGTTTAAGATTATTAATGTCATTTATTGCTTGCAGGACTTAATCCCCTCTGGTAGTATACTATCCAATGCTTTGAGTTGGGGAGTGAAGATACTTCATATTGATGGTAAATATTTTTGTTAGATGAAGCCTGACTTCAATGTGTAGCATTCATTCAACAGTTCTTTTGTTGAATTTGAAATAATATAAGTTATGTCAAACATACAAAATTGAGTCAACTGAGTATAATTCTCCCACTTTTTGCCAGATCTGAAGAATTGCATTGACCAAAAGAAAAGGGAGCTCTATCTAATCAAAAGAGCAGGCAGTTCTAAAGATGTGGTAAGTACCTTTCTGCCATTACATAAAATTCCATTTGTTTCATTAGCTGAGAAAACACTAAGTACTGAAGTACTGAGGACTGCCTACTGTGAAGCTTGTAGATTTTATTTTAGTAAGGGATTGCTCATTTTCAGGTTTTCACAGACTAGTATGTCTTGTGAATTGATTTAAAAACCATCTTTGATAATACTGTATATGTTGTATATTTCAACATTATTTAAAAATAACTTTAATAGTAGTATTGATTTCATAGTGTAGAGCTGTGCTCTTGCAAAGGATATCTAAGAGTCAGATGTACAGAACTGTCTGAAATTTCCATTCTGCCTGCCTCAAAAGTAATTAATAAAATTTATTGTTGTTTTAGTATGATGTAGATGGCAGCTAACTTGCCTTGTATAATTTTCCCCAGTGTTTAGAAATTCTTTCATTTTCATGGGCCGTTAAAAAAAATCATAGTTATGTATCCTGGAGAAGCTGTCTCTATAAGGAATCTGCAACTCCTAATAGAGAATGAACATAAGGTATCTTGAAGCTAATTTGCCAAATATGTGGAGCTGGCAAGTGAAAAATCCCCTATTCTCAAGTTTTTAGTCTGTGATGTAGTGAGACATTAAAGCTTGTAGCTCTTGTGTGCTCCATCTGCAGTTGCTTTGTAATTCGCACAATTGTCTTGTTTAGCCATGGAGCTAGATAAATAAAAGAAATGGAACCAAACTTATCCAGCGTGTGTTACGTTGTTTTGGAATGTCGTATTGGCTTGTTCTTGAGGCCACATAAAATCCTCTGCCAAATCATCACTGTGTTTATGGGTAACGGGTGAGGTGTTTTTGGAAATAGTATAAAATGGGTTTGTACTTTTACCAGAATCAATTTCATTTAACAGCTGATGCTTGAATGTAGACTTCCCTTTTTTCTGAAGACAAAATATTCCTCTAAACTTTAGTCTTCATTGCGAAAAACTGTAAAAGATTCAGCCTGTGTAAACCCATTCAAATGAAAAGAATTGTTTTAATTGGAGATACTTGCTGTTCTACAGGTTTTGGTGGCATTTTGCAGCTTGCAGTTAATTAGGATTTACAAAATGTTGTAAAAATGTTGTCTGTGTTAAAGACTGAACTTTCAACCATGGCAAGGTATTTTCAGGGTGGTGAAAGTAAGTGTATAAATTTACCTTTCTGGGTTTCTTTGTTTTTTAGAAAAATTAAATTGAGGCATCTTAAGGAGGGTACTTCTTTCAGTGTAGAAAGCAATAGTTCTTTAGGAAACATGTTGCCTTTTTTCAAAGTACTAATGAGCTTAGTTTCCTGAAAATTCATAATGAATATATGAAGTCATGATTAACATAGGGAGACTCTGATAACTTAAATTATCTACAGGTAAAACTTCAAGTACAGTGCAGAATAATACTCACAGGGATTTTATACCATCTCTCTTTTTTCAATAGGGAAAACATGTTACTGCTCAAAAGTCAAAAAGTAAGTACTTCAATAATTGTAGAGGTTTCTGGCTTGATTTATTTTCTGAATGCTTAAAAATGTGCTACAGTTCTCCTGTGGTCAAATGTAGTGCTGTACTTCAATTTGTATGTCCAAGAGAAGCATGTAGAGAAACTTTGTGGAAATCAAGAATTTGTCAAAACCTGTACATAATGAGTTCTAAAATAAAGTCTGATTATTTATTAAGCTACTGGAGCAACTTGAAAATGATGAAAAGTATTTTTCTGTTGATTTCCTTTTCTCTCCCTTTGAGCAGGTAGACTGAAAAGTCCATTTATCAGGGTAGAAGACAGGAGTCGGTAAGTGTTCTCTTCATGCATTTAGTAATGTGGTTCTCAAACTGAGTAAATCAGGATTACTTGAGGAAGTGTGTCCTTAAATCTCAATTCCTTTCAGCTTCCTGACTTCAGATGTCAAGTGTAATGCCCTCTTAAAATGAAATACAAATGTCTTTAGCCACCAAATGAAATTGAAGAAGTATAGTAGGGAATGTTTGCAGTAGGTAAAGGAAGTGGCAAGTTAACAGGTAACTGCAGTTTGTAGGTCATGAGAATGGGTTCTTTGGGTTATTTCCTGCCAAGGAATGAAAGGGAATCATGAACCTTTACTTACATCTTTCCTTAGATCCAAATCTTGTAGTCTAAAACTTTGCATACTGAATTCCACTCCTGTAGTTCCAACTCAGTTACATTCATCGCCTGCTGAGACTCTTTAGATGTAAGGAAAGTGAAGTTGTTAGTTAAAATAATTAACTGAAACTAGATTTAATTTCCTGTTCAATCATTTATTTTTAAAAGGAAAAATTATAAGCTCGTAATCTGGTTTCAGTATCCACAGTAGCATGAGATTTGATACTTTCAGCCCTGAAAAATTTCACATCTTTCTGGTCCTATAATCAGTCAGTCTTTGTTGTGTAAGAAAATGCCAGTTAGCCAGAAGTTGAGAGAGCAGTGAATCATAAAAAAGTTTGGTTCTGCACAGCATAATTTGCACCTTTAAATTCCTAACTAACTTCTGAGTTATGGTGTTGTTTATAAGCACTAAACTCTTCGACATGATTTCTCTGACACTTTTTCTGATCCTTAAGCAAGAGATCTATACCTGGTTGTACACTGTGAGTTGGTGCAATAGGTATGAGGGACATGGGGATAGTGGGGAGAACTGGACCCAACAGAGTTGTAAGGATAAGAAATTCACATCTAAATATATGTGAATTTCACAGTGTAGTGAAAACACTTGAAATATTTATTCTAAATATTTATGTAACATAATGTTTTTTAATGTTTGTGCAACAAAGGTAACAGTTCAGAAGCAGAAGTGATGCTTCACTGTTGTATTATAGTTTCCAGACTTGCTCTTGTAGTTTTGGCTGTGTTGCTTATAATAGTAATGTGGGGAAAAAATCAGACTGAACTCCGCCATCAGCATTTCAGTCAACTGATTACTCAGTATGTGTACTTTTGACATGTCCTATTTTGGAAATTCTTAACCTATTCAGATCACTGGTGTGGTTGCTAGTTCTGGTTATCTCTGAAAAGTCCAGTGATGTACAGGAATATTGTTTTTCTAAAAAATGAAAAAGTTTTTATATTATGAGTAGTGAGTATTTTTTTTTAAGAATAGCACTGGATGTTGGAGACTGCTGTAGCTACTTCTCAGGAGCACAAAGGCACTGTTGTCCGAATTGTTCTTGGGTTTATTGGTTACCCAACTCAGAACAATTAATAGGCACACAAGTCATATCACAAGGAATGTGTAAAACAGCTATAGGAAATGAAGGAAAGTATCAAGGAAGAAATTAATGATTTATTTTAAGATATTTATCTGTCTAGCATTCTGTGTGTGTCATATGTAAAGGAGAAACACTTTTTCAAGATTTTGGACCTGGAGTAATGTATGCAATTAGGCCCTTTTTCCGTTTTGATGGTTCTCACTCACTTGTCTTGTGTTAATACAGCCAGTACCGACCGTTTTATCTGCAGTTACCGAGTTTTCCATTTCTGAGCTATTGTGTTCCAAAGCCATATAGTCCATTTGAGGTGGATAAGAAGTATCCTGGTCAAAAGCAATCTCAGTCTAAGGAAAGGTTTGTTGAAAATTTTATTTTATTGAGGTGTGGGTAGAGGAGAGAGTTGGTCTCTGAATTATTCCATGACTAATTGTATTCTAAAATAATTTCTCAACTTCTAAATTTCTGTGCTATTTAATACTATAGCCATGTCTCATCCATGTTATCTACTGCTCTGTTGGTGTCTATCTGTACCCTCTTTATCCTGTCTTTAGTCCTTTTTTTGGGCATACAGATGCATACATCCAAAAATGTGGCCTTCTCCTTTCACTGTGGGTCAGCATAAGATATTTTTTTCCTTTCTGCTACTGGTTTCTTCTTTGTCCTCATCTTGGATGCTGTTCAGTAAGTATTTCACAGAAAATGGCGTTTTTAAGACTTCTTTTGTATTTGTCCATATAGTGCTGAAATAAGTAGTTGAACTTTTGAAAGCAGTGATATTCAATTACAGTGCCTAGCCATTGTTGATAAAGAGTGTATATTGTTAATAATTTATAGAAATTAGACTGCTAATACTGCTTCAACTCTTCAAAGATAAAAAGTGGATGCCAGCTGTCCAGTGGAATTGCAGCTGGCTTTACAGCAAGTGTTTATGTAATACATTTTGGCATTCAGGTTCGATTTGAGCACTACAGATGCAGTTAGAACTTCAGCAAATCAGTTTCATGATTGGAAACTACTTAAGAGTATAAATTAACTGTCTTTTTTGAATCAGTGGGGTTTTAAATTTTTTTTCTACCTAGCTTTTTTCATTGACTACTAAAAACTAATTTATGTGAGAGACTAAATATATTTAGGTGGAGGGTAGCTTTGCTGTTTGTGGAACTTACTGTAAGTTGCTACTTTCCTGTCTTTGAGGCTGAAGACTTATTTAGCTGTGATACCTGTTTCTTTATGAATGGCTTCTCCACAGTTCTGTACAGTCTTGACCATAATACAGTGCTGGAGGTTTCAGCTGATACTGCCAT